AACCCCAAAGAATCCACAAGAAAACTACTGGAACTAATAGAAGATTTCAGCAAAGTTTCAGGATACAAGATAAACATACAAAAATCAGTTGGATTACTTTACACCAACAAAGAGAAACTCAAAGAGGAAATCACCAAATCAATACCATTTACAATAGCCCCCAAGAAGATAAAATACTTAGGAATAAATCTAACCAGAGACGTAAACAATCTATACAATGAAAACTAGAAGACACTACTGCAAGAAACCAAGAGACCTGCATAAGTGGAAAAACATACCTTGCTCACGGATAGGTAGACTCACAATTGTGAAAATGTCAATTCTACCCAAAGCAATCTACAGAAACAATGCAATCCCGATCCAAATCCCACTGGTATATTTTAATTGAGATGGAGAAACAAATCACCAACTTCATATGGAAAGGGATGAGGTTCCGAACAAGTAAAGCATTACTCAAGAAGAGGAACAAAGTGGGAGGCCTCACGTTACCTGATTTTAGAAACTATTATGCTGCCACAGTAGTCAAAACAGCCTGGTACTGGCACAACAACAGATACATAGACCAATGGAACAGAACTGAGAATCCAGACATAAATTCATCCACCTATGAGCAGCTGATATTTGACAAAGGCCCAAAGTCCGTTAATTGGGAAAAAGACAGTCTCTTTCTGGCATAACTGGATATCCATCTGCAAAAAACTGAAACAAGACCCAAACCTTACACCATGCACAAAAACTAACTCAAAATGGATCAAAGACTTAAATATAAAATTGAAAATGATAAACAATGTTTTCTTTTTCCCTGTAGGGTTGCCACATTTTCTTACCAGGTATTTTTTCTCTCCCATAATCCAAATCCTTTTTTTTCCCCCAATAATAATTTATTTTTTGTTGTTCTTGAAAATATAGACAGCAAAACATATACCAATTCAAGAATGTCTACAAGTACAACTCAGTGACCTTCATTACATTCTTCAAGTTGTGCAACCATTCTCACCTGCCTTTCCCGAGTTATTTTTCCACCATTAACATAAACTCACTGCCCCCTAAGGTTCCTATCTAACCTACCAAGTAGCTGTTTGATCCTATATAGATAATTCTTTAAAAGAGGACAATGCTCAAGGCAGATATTCTTTACTAATTAAGCTAAACTACTGTTTGGTTTCAAGAAGACTTCAGGAGATACTTTTAGTTTAAGGTTTAAAGATTATCTCAGGGCAACAGTTTTGGGGGGTCACTCAGCCGCCATGGCTCCAAAAGTCTCTTTCCAGGTATTTTTTATCTCAGGACAGTCAAAGCCTGACTGACTACTAACACTCCCCCAGCCCCACTTCCCTTTCTCAATACCAACACTGACCTCCTTGACTGTCAGAGGTGAATTCAGTCACATGGCCAAAGGTCAAGGGCTAAGATCCAAGAAGCCCAGGATGTAAAGGGCTATGTTCTGAGGCAGTTATGAGAAGGGCCAGAAACGTTGAGGGCTTCCAATGGGCAGGGGCTTCAGTCCAGTCAAGAGGCTGGATGGTGACTGTCTCTGGTAGAAACAGACCCAATGCTTTTTGTGGGTACCTTTGCCCATAGCTGGTCTTAGGGCTGTCAAGGTTTAAACGTTTCTGCTCATTCTGACCCAACTCTACATAGAACATCATAGCCCAGTGGTAAGTGTTTCAGGATCAGAAAAGGGTTAAGAGCATCATTAGGCTGTGGTCAGAGAACTAGGGCCCATGAGGACCCTGTGTGCTCCATAGTCAAGGCTATTTTTTCTAGGTTATCCGTGGCCTGCACTAAGGTGGGACATATGTTACAATGTCAAGAGTCACCTATACCATACTGTGAATTAGCTTAGACTTTATCATGTCTGACCCCCAGCAGTATGTTTTAATGGGGAAGAAGATAGAGGCCTTGAGCACCTGTTGGGGTACCGAAAAGTGGGAGGCCCTTCCTAAGCAGGGAACAGCACAGTGCCTGGCACCTGGTGCCAAGCAGGGGAAAGGTAGAGAGGCCGACTCTGCCTACTTAAGTGTCTGGAACCCTGGCCCTGCTAGTCCTTGAAAAGCTGACTCCATGACATTCACTCATGACCTAAAATAAAATGCTAAGCCATACTTGAAAAGGCAATACATAAATACTCATTTTATTTACATTAGTCCAACTATACTAACCAGAGAATAAAAAATTCAAATTAAGAGTAATAGAGGCGGATATGTTACCTACCTCACTGTCACAACCACTTCAGGTACTGTATCACTCAACTTCCTGTAAGCTGAGGTGGATACGAAAAGGGAACTCCAAAACTAGCCAGCTTGTGGCTTTTCACTAGCTTCTTTCAAGAGTTACAGCCTGATGGAATGGGCTAGCTAATGGCTTTTCCTAGCTGTACTGTTCAAAAAAAGAGCAAGGGAGGTAGATAGGAAGAAAAAAGAACAATGACTTGAAAAATAAAATGCAGGGAAGGGAAATAGGAAAATTATGTTAGGTGATTTTTATAGAGCTCGCCCCATCTTCAAACTTTCAGAATACTTGTTTTCAAATTTGAGTGGGTCACCAAACACCCAGGTATAAAATAAGGATTTATATTATAAACTACTGATTCCTAGTTAGTAAAAATGGTGAGCTGATTTCTCGAGTTAAAAAGCTACTAAATAGACTAATGGTAACTTCCTAGAATCTGCATAGAATGAGGTTAAGGTAAGTCATTTAAAGCAAGTAATATCATTTAACATGAAGTCTCTGTGATCGTTCGTACTCCTAAGCAAAATAGAGAGTCAAAGAATTTATAAAACAATTCTGTCACAAAACCATCCAACAGTTTAGCAGCAGGCAGAAACACTCTACCCAACCAAAAGAATCTAAATTAAATCTAAAGCAAATCTAAATTCTAGATGACTACTGTATATTTTTTTAAAAGGACTATATTTTAATAGTTAAAAAGGAATTTCTATCATATGCAAAGTGCCTAATTTTAAAAAGGTACTTAAGACAAAGAGATATAATTTAACACACAAATTTAAGGTCCCTCAATAGTCTTTACACTGAATTTCAATTATTAAATGTCTAGTGAGTTCTATGGGTAGGCAACGTAGCAGTGGCTAGAGATTCAAAAACAAAAAAAGACCACAGTACAATCCCTCCTCGTCTCAAGAAGCCTGGGGTCCAGCACAGAGAAAGACAAGTAAATAGACAATTACAGCCCTTAGCAGACATCCTACCTCAGACTGTGCTCAAGAGGTGCAGAATAAATCCATGAACAAAGTGCCACGTGGTAAGTGCTAAGAGAAGGGTAAGCAGGGGATGTGAAGGGAGCCCCCTGGAGTGCAGAGGACAGAGCAGGGGTGTAAGGGAGGAGAGGAGAGGGAAATGGTGATGGCACTGCTGGTGCAGGCTGATAGGACTTTCACAAAGTCCAATCCTGGCGTCTCTCGGGGTCAGCAAGCACAGATCTTCTGCTTAATAACATGATACACAGGTGGACAGTAGTTTTTAATTCCAAATCTCTAACCATGTATTTCCTTTAATTGATACTGTATATTCTGATGTTTTCTTACCTGTCTGTTTTTTCTTTCAGCTAATGCTTGCACAGATGAAGTTGACATCTGATCCTTCATGTCCTAATGAGACAAGCAGAAGACCGGAAAACAAAAGAAAAACATCTTGAGATTAAATAATATCATGATTAATAATTCACATACTCACAAAATATGCATCATTTATTACACCCCCTTTTTTTTTAAAAAAAGACAGCATTCTTTGGTTTTTATTTTTAAACTCAAAAGTAAAGGAAATAAAATAAAGAGAAAGACTTCCCCTTAAAAGGAGGTAACCTGGATACTAAATTTAAATAGGAGGAAAGAGGAAGGAACCTAACATTTACTGGGTACCTAGCATAGGCCAGAAATGGTACTAATCACTCATACACATTATCACTTAACTTTTACAATGCCCCTGTGAAGTTGGTGCTATTTCCAGAAAGGTTAAGATACTTTCTCAAGGTCCCATAACCAGTAAATGGCAACCCCAGGTTATGCTCAAGGGTCATCATCTACAAGGAAAATATGTATAAAACACCATATACTTGAGTATAAAGTATATTTACCATTAAACACTAGAGACTGCTTTTGAATAGTGGTATAAGATCTCACTTATTTTATTTCTGAGTTGGATTCACGTGAAGTATAGACTATTTCTAACACCAGAAAGAATTTTCAGAGTGGTATCAAAAATAACTTTGAATGGAAAGAAAAATTAATAGACTCCATACTTAATCTTAAGCAAAATGCTTAAGCCATGAGCCATTTTTTCTTTCTGTTGGCTTATCACATTTAACCACAACCCAGTGTATGTTAAAATGATTTGAACTGAGTACATGATGACTGCAATAACATTTTTTTCTTAAGTCTGTCAAAAAGGCTGTCAAAACACTTTATAATTATCTATTGGCAAGTAGACAATTTTACAGATTCAAGTGTTGAGGTATTAGACTTTTATAAATTCCTTCCAAGACCTCTGACAAATGAATGGTGGATTATAGACAGCACCATAGCATTCATAATTCCAACTGTGGTTAAGTCTGAATAATAACCACCATGCTCCTACTTTCAAAGCACTCATTCTTTCATTCAGCAAATATTTATGGATACCTAATCTGGGCTGGAGGCTCTGGGTGGTGCAAATGGTTAATGCACTCAGCTGCTAACTGAAAGATTGGAGGTTCAAGTCCACTAAGAGGTACCTCAAAAGAAAGACCTACTGATCTATTTGTGAAAAATCAGTCATTGAAAACCCCATGGCACAGCTCTACTATGACAAACACGGGGTAGCCATGAGTCAATTGATTTGACAGCAACTAGTTAATCTGTGCCAGGCATACAGCAGTGACATGGCAGTGAACAACACAGAGTAGGGAATAATGAAGCAAAAACTAAAAATTAAGTTGGACTTCATTAAAATTAAAAACTTCTGCTTTGCAAAAAATACTGTTAAGACAATGAAAACAGAAGCCACAGAGTGGGAGAAAATATTTGCAAAACTTCTGTCTGATAAAGGACTTGTAGCCAAGCTAAAGAAAGAACTCTTAAAACTGAACAATAAGAAAACAAACAACCCAATTACAAAATGGGCAAAAGATCTGAACAGAAACCTCACCAAAGAAGATATAAAGGTGGCAAATAAACATGTGAATATCATATGTTACTAGGGAATTACAAATCAAAACGAGACACCACTACACACCTATCAATGGCTAAAATCTAGAACACTGACACCACCAAATGCTGTTGAGGATGTGGAGCAACAGGAACTCTCATTCATTGCTGGTGAGAATGCAAAATGGTAGAGCCACTCTTAGAAGACAGTATAACAGTTTCTTACAAAGCTAAATACAGGCTTACCATTCAATCCAGCAATTGCACTCCTAGGTATTTACCCAAATGAGATGAAAACATATGTCCACATAAAAACCTGCACAAGAATGTTTATAGTAACTTTATTCATAATTGCCAAAAACTGGAAACAACCAAGATGTCCTTCAATAGGTGAATGGATAAACAAATTGTGGCACAGCCACATAATGGAGGAGTATTCGGTGACAAAAAGAAATGAGCTATAAAGCCACAAAAAGACAGGGAGGAACCTTAAATGTATACTGCTAAATAAAAGAAGCCAGTTCGAAAAAGCTACATATGATGATTCCAACTATATGACACTCTAGAAAAAGCAAAGCTATAGAGACAGTGGTTGAACAGAATCAGTGGTTGCCAAGGGACGAATAGGTGGTGCACAGAGCATTCTTAGGGCAGCGAAACAATTCTGCATGGTACTGATATGGCGGACACACAACATCAAGCATTTGTCAAAACCCATAGAACGAACCGTACAACACAAACAGCGAACCCTAACATAAGCTATGAACGTTAATTAATAATATCAATATTGGTTCATCAACTGTAACAAATGTACCACAGGAATGCAAGATGTTAATAGGTGAAAAGATGTGTAGGGGGGAGGAGGTATATGGGAACTCTACTCTTTGCACAATTTTTCTGTAGAACTAAAACTTCTATAAAGTTTATTTAAAAAAAAAAAAAAGAAAAAGCATGCTCCAAGGCCCCACCAGACCTGCTAAGTCAGAATTTTTATGCTGGGGCCTAGAACTCTTCATTTTAACAAGTCCCCCAGGTGATTCTTATGAACACTGAAATTTGAAAGGCTCTGGTCTATACAAACATGTTCTAAAACCCTCAAAGTGAGACCACATGCTACTATCTCCTGGACTGCAGCATTCCTTTTCTAATTAACAAATAAATTAGAGTTTAAGATGACATTCTGATGTTCGATCAAACAACAGGAATAGAACATCCCATTTATTTAATATATAATATCTATGCAGAACAAATATCTGAAATGCTCACTGGTGGGATAATGCTTTTGAAAATGCATTCAATGAATTTTATGATAGTCTTTCTTTTTGTTTAAACAATGAACATATTATTTGCATAATAAAAATGTCAACATTTTTAAAAATGACATTTTAGGCCACTGAACACTCTATGTAGAATGTGTTTTTGGAAGTTAGGACAGTGAGGGGGGGAAGTGATGACTGTAAAGGGGCACAATGAAGCTTCTGGGTGCTGCTTCCATGCGTGTGTTCAGTTAATAAATTCATCAAGCTATATACTTGGGATACGTGTACTTTTCTGTAATTTTTATATTAATAAAAGTGTTTTTTAAAAAAGATACTGCTTTTGGAAGTGGATAGTGGTAGCAGTTGCATAATATGGCTACTGTAATTAATGTCACCGAATTGTACACATGAAAATAGTTGAAATGGCAAATGTTATATACATTTCACAATTAAAAAAAAAAAAGATACTGCTACGCTCAAACAATAGATGGAAGATAAACTGGACTAGCCCTTTGAAAATAAATTTGGCATTTTGTATCAAGAGCCTCAAAATATTCACTACCTTAACCCAGTAATTCTACTAAGAAGAATTTAAGAACATCATATAAAGTATACATCAAAATGGATATGCAAAGACGTACACCGCAGCGTTATTTATAATGTGAAGAAAAACAGAAAAAAGTAACATGTCCACACACTGGGAGAGTAACTTACAGTAAATCCACACAATGTGGTATTACATACTAAACAGTACGTTTATGAAGAGAGTTCAGTGAACAGACAATTCACAAAAAAATCATACATAAAAAGATGCACTAACCCACTAATAATCAAAGAAGCATTAGTTAAGAGATATTTTTCCCAATTAGATTGGGAAAGATGAAAAAGACTGATAATACTCGATGTTGGTGAAGGTGTTAAGAAATACAGAATCTGATCCCCTATTATCAGAAATACAACTGCTAGTCTTTTTTGTAGGATATTTTGAAAATATTAATTAATATTTAAAATGTGTATTCTCATTGAATTCTTTACTACTTAAATATCTAGATAATGCAAACAAAGTTGGCCACTGAAATATGGTTTGTAGTTGTCAAAATTCAACAACCTAAATATCTACCAGTAGTTCAATGGTTAAACAAATCATAATAGAGCCACACTATAAAAGAGGTTAAGAGCATGGTCCTTCATGTCAAAGACCCGGGCTCAGGACTTAGCTATGCTATTTAACAGCTGTGCAAAGTTGGGCGACTTAATTTCTCTTAAGTATCTATTTCTCTGTACATTTGAGATTGTGGTGTCATAGTGGATACTAACAGAGATAATACATGAAGAGTGACTAATAATGTCTAACACACAGTAAACACTCAGTAAACGTTAACTATTATCATCATATGAAAGTATGCAACTATTGAAAAGAATAATCTAGATGTGTTCTGATTTGGCCTCTAGCCAGTTGCAGCTACTCAGTGCTTGAAATGGGTCAGAGCAACTGAGGAAATGAATTTTTAATTTTCTTTAATTTTAATTAATCGAAATTTAAATTCAGTTACTGGAAAACTTTTAAATATGTTTGGAACAACTTGGGTATGCAAATCTACTTTTTCAACCGTAAATTTTATAAAATCTAAATACACTTCAAATATTTCCAGTGAAAACTGGATACACTGGGTTAAGTAAAATATATTAAGTTCATCCGTTTCTTTTTAATGTGGCTACTGGAAAACTAAAAATGACATGTGGTTCACATCAATTTCTACTGGACAGCACTACTTTGGATGCATCTGTATTGACACAGAACTAGGTCGCAATATATTTTTTCATAGAAAAAAATTACAGAATAATATCACGCCATTTCTTTAAGAGTGTGTACTTCAATGTTCATAAAAAGGCTAGAAAAATCTACAAAACTACTGAGAGTGATTATTTCTAGGGAATGGAATTACAGAATGGAAGAAGAGCATTTTTTCACTTTTAATATATCAAAATTATTTGCGTTTTAAAAATAGTAAGTATGTATCATTTTTAATTGTGAAAAATAACTAAAAAAGCTCTGCTTGCACAACAGTATGATCATGACTATGTAAAAGTATAACTCCCATGCATGGGGTGGGGGGATGACTAAGAGAAGATGCGAAAAGTTTTGTGTTTGTGTATTATTTGGCATTTAGGTTTCTATTTTTCCCTCCTGTAAAATATTTCCAATTACTTTAATGAAATATATATTGAAAAGTCCAGTTTTTAAAGTTCTTTGCTTAATAAAAAAAATATGTGGGGTGTGTGTGTCAGGCCTGATGGTCTGTGAATTCTCTAACAGCTGTGTGGTGCCCATCATGTACGTGGCCACTGACATAGGTAAGGAGCTACAGCTTCAACTCTTGCGATGGTTTTTCATGTATGTAAGTTAAAAGTCTCTAGATACTGTACAACAACAGATCACCTTCATATTAGAATTTGGAATGTTAAGCTATGTTACTAAACAGTTTAAAACATTTTGTAACAACTTGTCATGTCAAAACGTAATTACTCATCTTCTTTCTAACACATGAAGTTTAGAATCAGCAGTCAAGAAGCAGTTAGTCCCAATAAAATATGGTTCATCTGCCAAAAGAACAACAAATGTCCTGGTTATTTATGCTCCTGTTTCCATTCCACATTGGAATTTCACACCGTCTTCTAAACTGAATGCATGAGATACCATAAATCCCAGGGCTTGCCACTCAGAAGTCTCACTACCCAATGTCATCTGTGCCCACACTGGATACCTTTCCCTTTTTCATTAACCACAGCCATTTCTATCTTGACTTAAAATTGACTGTAAACAATTTTTAGATGGGAACAGGTTTTTTTTTGGTGGCGGGGGAGGTGGAGTGAGGAGGAATATTTCTAAACACCTTTGTAAGTTAAAATAAAGTCAGAGAATGTTGGTGTGGATTATTTCATAGCTAAAGGAAATTGAGATTGATAGTGGCTGAATAACTTGCCACAATTAAAATTTATTAAGGTCACAGCTGGGCCTAGAACTCAGGCCCCTGAGTCCTCATTCATTATTGTTCTGCCATATACTGTAAAACCTTTTACTACCAAAGTAAACCAAAGTCAGGTCTGGAATGTATTTCCACAACAGAAAATTTTCACATGTGAAACCTCTGATGTGTAGGCGACTCTACACATGTAAAACATAAAAATAAATAAATAATTATAGTACCTCAAAAATATCAATGCTGATTATACAAAAACAAGAACGTTGCTTTCTTCATTAAAAACCGCCCGCAAAAACTTTAGTAAAAACTATACAAACTTAAAAGATGCTTGGAAAAATATCCACAAGACTCTTTAAACAAGCGAGGCTTACTAAAGACATAAACCAATGGCCATTAATTGAGGAAAAAGATTTACTTTTTCAGGTACAACCAAAAAACTTGGTGGAGTATCACTGAACCCCGAGTAAGAAGGAGAACACACAATTGACACTCGCTGTTTTAAAAATAAAGTGGATCAAAATGGATTCCCTTTGAGCAACATTAAACGAAAGCCCATCACTCACGGTAACAGAGGAGCTTACATAAATGTGTGATGTACAAACTCCTGATCTGAGCATGATCATTTCCCAGCTCTGCTAACTCCCTGATGCCTCTCTGTCAATCTCTTCCACCCAGATCCTGGCAACCCCGGTATACAAATACTGTTCAGCTGAATGCAGTAGTATGGAATCAATACAAGGTATTATTAAGTTAGCATCACTGCTACTTCTTTTCCTCCTAGGGCTGTCAATTAGAATGTATTAAAGTCAGATCAGCAAAAGCTCTCAGTTAGGTACTCTTAGCTAACTACTGGCAAATAGTAACAGCTTCCCAACAAGGAGTCATAAATTAAAACAGGAATGATTAAATGGGGCTTAAAAAAAAAACTAAAATATTCAGTCGGATCATGTAGTTGAATATGATTTTGATCTCAACTCTGGAAGGACTGTAACATTTTGAAGTACTGACTCAATTGAGGACACTTCTTTCAAAGAATGTATTTTAAAAGCTTTTCAGACAGTAGAAAACAAACTTCAGATTCTGCATCCAATTATATCAACTAACAACTTTTGATACAATGGCCTCTAAATTGCAATTTGCAAATTTTGCAATTTCATAGTACCGCCTTGTAGAAAGAACAAATATAATAATTAAGGTCCTGAATATATGCTTCATTTCAAGGTACCATTTAAATACCAGTATGTACAGAAGTGTCATTCTAAAATCTATTATAAAACAAAATCATATTTACAAAATAAATAACTGGACAATTATATACCTTATAAAAAATTTGTGACCTAACAACAGGGCTTCCTTATCAGAAGAGCATTTCGAACTTGTTAGAAACAGAAATGAAAAGCCCACTGCCATTGAGTTGATTCTGACTCATAGCAACCCTATAGGGCAGGGTAGAACTGCCCCATAGGGTTTCCAAGACTTTAAATCTTTACAGAAGCAGACTGCCACATCTTTCTACTACAGAGCCACTGGTGGATTCGAACTGCCAACCTTTTGCTTAGTAGCCAAGCGCTTTAACCACTGTATCACCAGGGCTCCTATAAAAAACCAAACC